CTAATCTTGTGTTTAGAACTTACGCCCTCAGCGCAGACGGAGTCCGTAATTCGAGGTCCAGAACTTTCGAGATCACCGTACCTGGCAATATTTGTTCATGCACTAATCAACTGAATTGAATTGAAATAGTTACACAGCGTTGCACACAATTCAAGTTACACAGGCAATAGCTACACAGCGTTGTAAGGGGATCAGCTTGCGCGAATCACATTAATTGGAACGCACATTATACTCGAGTATACTCGAGAACAAAATTAACATTTTCTGAGATTCCGGCGACCATGAAATGAAGGCAGAAATGTCGACGTATATGGCAATGGGATAGGGCTGGTTCTAATTGAGTTAATTGTAGCTTTTCGCAGTTAGAAAGACGGTCCGAAATGCCGGACTCGGATATTTTAATTAAGCATCAATACAAAGTATTGGGGCAATACTTTGCAATGAACATTTCATTTCCCCGATATTTCTCAGGCACGAAACATGAAAGATTTTCTGAATTCAGATTGAGAACAGAGGCGATGCAAAATTGGAAAACTGGTCAGGTAATTGTGCATTTCGAAGGAGAATTTTTTTCCTGGACATTCACCGAAACTGTTACAATAAAATTCCTACACATTCACCGAAGCTATTACAATAGAACTCCTGCTCTTCTAGACGAGTCTAAGCTCGTATTCTGGAAAGATTTTTTCTTAGCGGCATTGAAATCTCCTATGGATGAAAACACGCATAACCATTTTAAAAGAATTTTTGCTGCGTTAATTACTTAATCAATCACTTCGCAAGATTAGATATGTTTTTTGTTTCTGTAATTTTGTTTCTCTATTTTTCGTTTCTTTTAATTGGCGTCTCCTTGGATTTAATATTCTACATTTCAAATGTACTGAAAAACTTCTCTGTCTTCATCACAAATTTCTTATTTTCCAATTTTTTATCAGTTAATTTTTTTTACCGTTTGAAATTCCAAAACATAAATTTTTTGTGAAATTTCTTCTGGCTCATTCAGCCTTTATTAAACACCTCCTCACGATTTGATCTTGACGACAGTGCTAACATCAAAAGCAATTAGTGTTCTGAATAACATCATTTCAATTAATAATATAAAAGTCTAACTTTCAATAATTTGATTTACTCTTTGTGGCAAGGGTCTTTTTATATCCCTAAAGGAACAAAATTTCTTGGGAAGTGTTGATGATAAATTAAAAGAATTCCAGTAAAAAGCCAAGAAAATTCACGAGTATTAATGTCATCGAAATTGTGAATTAATTTCTACCAATGAAATTAAATTATGACTTTCATGTTTCCGCAAATTTGGGTACGATATTCTTACTAGAATTTTTTTTTTCATTTGCAGCTACGAAGCGAAAAAATCCACTTGAAGGTTAAAACTTTTGCAATCAGTTACGCTTTTATGAACGACCCTGGATGTTTTTAGATCACTTTTTAATGCTCGATGAAAATAGTTTAATTCATTTTCACTTATTACAAAATTATTTTCATTGCTAGGCATCATTTTTTTAGGTGACGAAGATCACCTAAACCTCAACCTCACAGTATCAACATCACAGTATCAACCTCACAGTATCAACCTCACAGTATCAACATCACAGTATCAACATCACAGTATCAACCTCACAGTATCAACCTCACAGTATCAACATCACAGTATCAACATCACATCATCAACATCACAGTATCAACATCACAGTATCAACCTCTCAGTATCAACCTCACAGTATCAACCTCACAGTATCAACCTCACAGTATCAACCTCATAGTTCAGTTGATACTGTGAGGTTTTTGGCTGAATTGTTTACACCGCTGATTTTCCACCCTTGTCAAGGACGTATTTCATTAGCATATACTGCAGGTACAAAATTTCATTCGAAATTTAGTTAAAATAGATTTTCTTATCTCTTTATCGAGAAAACGATTGCTCAGGGCACATTTTTCGAAACTCATGACATGTGACGACCGTTAAATTTTGACGACAATTCAAGAGAACGGTTCTGATTTTATTCAGAAGCTTGGCTCTGTCACGGCCAGTCAGCGAGCAATGACAACTATTGCTCTCGTATTAGGTTGTTCTTTGACGCTAGGCAGTCAACATCGTAAAATATCAATACGTATTAAAATAGTGCGTAACAAATGTGTATTTTTGTTCCGTATCTCTTATGATATACATTAGACAGGAATAGTTAGTAGTAATTTGGTGTACTACATAGATTACCAAAGCTGAAAATTTAATGTGTTTCCACATCCTGGGAAGGCTCTACTTGGTAGCTATTTCAATGTGAACCAAATATTGATTGTTCCGTGTTTGAGGATATTCACTTTATGCAGGTAATGCTTAGCATCTACCCAAGTTTATAATCGAACAAAGAGTTTTAATTACTAAGGCCTTATGTTATTTACACTATCAGAGTAATATTTAACAGCTACTTGAATTTATAATCGAACGATGAGTATTTATTGTTCAATGTTCATGCCTCGATCAAGTTATTCTCGTCAGGCAGCTACTACTTAGTTCATTTTAAACATTAGAATCGGGAAAATTTATATTAATTTTTCATGACAGATATCGATGGATGATTCAGTTATTGCCTATATTTTGCTAGATTTGGAGAATAGGCATGAATTCTCCATACCTCAGACTATTTGCGCACTCCGCCTGCACCAAAGTCAACTTTGCGCAAAGATAGCTGAATTAATAGCGCCTGCTAATAGCCTTCATTAAATGCTCGAATAACGCAGTCCCGAAGGTCAAGTCTGCTTGCTCTGCTGTCATAAATTCGACGCTAATTTCCCTCTGGAGGTCGCAACTTCCGGAATGCCTGATAAAGTTATAGTCCAGAAGCTCTCAATTCCCACGTATTGGTGCGCAGTCATCGAGCTTAAGTGAGGCTTAAGAGGAAGAATGCCCCGTAATGAAGTTCCTTAATTGTTCATCTGCTCAAAAAATTCACGAAAATCTTATTCGACGGAATATTTCGCTTAAAACACGTCGCTAAAGTTCTTCCCCTTGCTCAAAAACGCGCCGGTTATGGGAACGAATGCGATCGAGATTCTCAGACTCGTGGTTCTGAAAAAGTGTCACTTACTTGGCCAGAAATGTTCTCATGTTTTTACATTTTCGTACTCGAAAAAGTAACGCGTTGATCAAACGTTGTATTGTCATGCACAGGATGATGAGTGAGCAACAAAGCTGTTGTGTCCCTGAATATGCACGGGCAGATGAGGCGGCGATTTCCGCTGACTATGTCTTAATATTTTTACATCTTACGTCGCAGCGTCGGCTATGTGCTGGAAACTGACATCCGCTTGAACCGATTGAAGACATAACAAAATACGCTGCAGCCTTGAGGAAGTTCTTTCGGCCGGCTTGGCATGACCTAACAGTTATTTTTATAAAAAGATAGGCGGCGCTGACAGAAATCACTTCATTTAAAGCACTAATTAAATGTATGTGCAATATTTTAGATATAAATACTTGTAAATACATGATATATTAAACGAACACTGCCGAACAGTCGTTAAAATTCCTGAGCATTATTTTTATATCTTTGAAAATTCCCACATAGTTCAAGGTGGCTAATTTTTTGAAAAAAGTAAGGGCGCAAGGATTCTCATAAAAATGGTAAAAAATCCCGACACGTTTAGCAGAATTCCCACTAATGAATATTATGATGGACGATCTGGCAACACTCATGTTTACCCCGGATACGTTCATCCCTGGCATTACAAGTCATCAGTCATCGTATTTAGACCAAAATTAGAGAAGGCAACTTGAAATTACAAGGCTCAGGAAGCCGTTAAATTGGCACGTACTTGGGCGGCCTTCAACTCAAGTCTCATTTGCTCTGCCCGCTCTTGATCTGTTGCACTTCTCTTCAGAAAATGTGTTGGGTTTGGCGCCAGAAAATTTCGGGATAAGCCCGTTATAAAATTATTTTATTCGGGATAAGGCCGTTATAAAGTTATCAAATTCGGGATAAGGCCGTTGTCAAATTATTAATACAAATTTGAACGAAATTATTATCTTAAGCTGGAGCTTGTGACTGTTCACTCACATGTTAAATCCTTTTATCTATGAAAGAAACATCTCTACAGAACAAGAATGGTGTTTTTATAGTTACAAAAAAAAGAATAACTACAGAATGTAATGAATAAAATGCGATCAACTACACTGAGAAAAGTTAGTATTCTTCAAAAGATTTGTTATAAATTGTTATAAAGATTGAAGTTTTGATTAAAACAGAACGAATTTTCGAGGACGAGCGTAAAGGGCTCTTAGTTAAGCTACTTGAGATTTCTCCCACAGCACCGGAAGCTCTTAGTGATCACGGCAACGATTTAGCGCAGCTGGAACGCTGGTCGGTTCTGCTCAACCGCGTGCCTGACAACCGCGTGCACTACAACCGCATGCGTTACAGCCGCAAGCGTTACAGCCGCATGCGTTACAGCCGCAAGCGTTACAGCCGCAAGCGTTACAGCCGCATGCGTACCGCCAGCGTTACAACCGCATGCGTAACAGCCGCAAGCGTTACAACCGCAAGCATTACAACCGCATGCGTTACAACCGCATGCGTTACAACCGCCAGCGTTAAAGCCGCAAGAGTTACAACCGCATGCGTTACAGCCGCATGCGTTACAGTCGCATGCGTTACAACCGCATGCGTTACAGCCGCATGCGTTACAGCCGCATGCGTTACAGCCACAAGCGTTACAACCGCATGCGTTACAGTCGCATGCGTTACAGCCGTATGCGTTACAGTCGCATGCGTTACAACCGCAAGCGTTACAACCGCCAGCGTTAAAGCCGCAAGCGTTACAACCGCAAGCATTACAACCGCATGCGTTACAACCGCATGCGTTACAACCGCAAGCGTTACAACCGCCAGCGTTAAAGCCGCAAGAGTTACAACCGCATGCGTTACAGCCGCATGCGTTACAGTCGCATGCGTTACAACCGCCAGCGTTAAAGCCGCAAGCGTTACAACCGCATGCGTTACAACCGCAAGCGTTACAACCGCATGCATAACAGCCGCAAGCGCTACAACCGCAAGCATTACAACCGCATGCGTTACAACCGCATGCGTTACAACCGCAAGCGTTACAACCGCCAGCGTTAAAGCCGCAAGCGTTACAACCGCAAACGTAACAACCGCATGCGTTGCAACCGCAAGCGTTACAGCCGCATGCGTTACAGCCGCCAGCGTTGCACCCGCATGCGTTACACCCGCAAGCGATACACTCACATGCCTTGCAACTTCATTCGTTACAACCGCATAAGTTACACCAGCATTAGTTGCATGCATGTGTTACACCTGCATGCAATACGCCCGCATGCGTTACAAAGGTTTACGTTAAAACCGCGTGCGTTACAGACCCTTTAAAAATCATACGATACGATTTTCATTTACCCGTTCAAAATCTGAAATCGTGAAAAAAGTTATTATTGAAATTTCATCATTCATTTTAACATGTCATGGAGTTATATAACAGTGCATGAGTGAGTGCTGTGGTTTGGCTTTCGAAACACGATGCATTCGACGATTAGCTCGCCGCTACACGTCAAAGCTTTTTTCTCATTTCACTCAGTCGGTAATAAACGATAACCATTATATAATTTCACAAAGTTTTTACAAATTAATTCCGTTCTACAATAAGCGATCGCTGCTGTGCACTAAATGATTGCATACATTCATCATTCCTGGCATCGAGTGAAGGTGAAGGATGCCGCGTGAAAAGATTTCTGTTAAATGACTTGCGCACCGGACGCTGACGCCTCATTTTAATGCGAGGCTGAAATGCAGTGAAGTGGAAATCGTTTAATCGATGTTAATTTGTATTCTTTTCATCAGGGTTCTTTATCGATCTTTTTATTACACTTCCTGAATTCGATGTTTCAACCTTGATTGTCTTATCTGATGTTTTTCGTTATTTTTTAATCACTACGAATGAAATAAAAAAATATAACTCAATACTCAGTGCAGTGAGTGACATAGAGCGCATTTTCTCGTCGACGAAAATGTGAAGTCACGGACAGACAGACGGACAGACAGACAGACGGACGGACATGGCGAGCTCAATAGCGCCCTTTTTCCATAAATGAGAAAATGCGCTAAAAATAGGACGCTCAAAATATTAGGCGATGTTACAAACATAAGAATCTTGAATTTTTTTTTAATAATTGGAATTTTCCGTGTGAGGTATAACGCACGCAGCTGAATACGAGGTATCAAACGCTCCGAATGGCATTTCAAGTATACATCGCTCTTTAGGGGTTTTGGGCGCGCGCGAATAATAGGCAGAAGCTAAACCGTATGCAGTGAAAGCATGCAACGGACGTGGCTGCGGGTTATTTTAACCGCTGATTTGATGCAATGAATAAATATGACGGATTAACGTAATTCACATGTTTGGGTGCGGTTTGGCTTTCGTAATGCTTGCAGGATATGAAATCGACCTGTTATGTAAAATAAAGATAATGTATAATTCTTGTGTAATACCACCCCAGGAATTTAAGTACTTCAATTAAACGATAAGGCGTTTAAATTTATAATTTTATTTATTCAAAATATTTATTGCGTATTCCACTAAATTACGACGGTAGCAATAGCTGCTTCATCAAACGGGCGGTGGGCAAACGGGGTCATCCTTTCACTCTGACCCAACAACCCAGCCTCACACCTGCGGTCATGTAAGCGTGCGGTTTGAGTTTAATTATAATCTAAATAATTAAAATAGAAACCATGCAGAGTGTTTCATATTGGACCAACGAGTTAAAATAAACTTTATTTATCATGATTTACATAATTTTTGCTATGTTTCATTCTAACTCGTTCCATTTTAAAACTAATCAATTAGTCGAACATATACTACAATACCAATAACATTCATACTATCGAAGCATGTGCATGTTTGTACTATTATTTCGATTATTTCCATTGAACCTACACATGCCTTATTTGCCCTTTTGTAAGCGATACGTATAAGCCGGATATATAATTGTAGCATCGCGGTTCAAAGTAATATAAGTTCACGAATAATGTTGATCAAGTGGAGAAATTATCCTTTATTTAGCATAGGATACAGTAAAATTACCTGCGTTCCAATAATCTTCATGAGTTGTGTTAGAAATTCGTAAATCCACCCAGTAAATAGAGCGTCTCAACAGATAGTGAACAATAGCTCACAATTCGATGCTGGCGTTGTTGCGGCGCGAGGGGAATTCTAGTAATCGGAACAAGTATAATAGGACGAATTGTTTCAAGATTTTCTTATATTTATGAAAAAAAACGTATTGAAAATCCCCGACGCATGAAAGCTGGCAAATTTTTCAATAAAAAACTGCAGTTTGTAGGGAGTAAAAACTTTTTTGTGGATTTAACCGTAAGTGTTAAACTGTACTTGCCAATCCTACATATACACCTATTGGTGAAAAAGTTTTTACGGAATAATTTTATATCATATTTCTATTTTATGACTGAATGAATGTTTCAATTTAGATTTTATTTTGGATTTTGAGTGTCGTCATAAATAACTCATATGTAACGAATTATTTTCAATTTACTAAAGGTACAAAACCAAATGGGAAATCTATCTAACTGGAATTCTGCTGCCAGGTTGTCAAGTTACTGACAGAACATAAAAAGAGATTTTGCGCCTATATTGATTTGAAAAAGCTTTACGAGCGCTGAGATTACTAGGAGCATTGGCAGAGAAGTTGACTAGAAAATTCACCGTATTTTAAATGAAAATGATTCGGAAATCAGCGCAATCAACAGTTTTAATACTCACCCAGTGAAAATTTACTGACGCGGCAGCTTCTGATTTGGATTACCAGAAGCTGGGGCGACTCTAAATTTTGTTAGGGCAATAATACGAGTGTAATCAATCGGTACAACTAAATTTACACGGCAGGGTTTTATTAGAGTATTAAATTTTGAATTTAAAAAATTAGATTAATAAATTTTGAACTGATGATGAACATAGCTTCCCAACTTGTGGGCTGAAAATATAATGAATTATTTTGCCTTTTTTATTATGAAATTCATTGTAGCCTAGCGATTTGAGAAATCACTTAATCTATGTTCAGGGTAATTTATTTATTTCACACGCTTTCTCCAAGTTCAAAATAAGCGATAGAAAAAAGTTAGTGACTGACAGAGACCTGCTAACGTAGCTTCATCACTAAAGGGAAGGACTGAGCCATCGTTTGATGCAACTGTTTTATGAGAGTAACAATGCTTACATGGTTTATATCTTATTTTGGTGGCTGCGAAATTAATAGCAGCATCTTAGCCTAGAGCCCGCTATTGTTTTACGAATATTTGAGTTAATTAAAAAACGAAATTTTTCACACTGTATTATATTTGTTGATTATATGAGACTATTTAATATGAAATTTATTCTTTATCTCTGAATTACTAGGTTTTTCCTTTCTCGATTTGTAGGTCCATATTTGTTGGAAAGAAGTATTGGACTTGTACAGTCCCACCCTAGTACACATACACTGGACCCGCAAAACCTCATGTTGTACCAGTATTTCTGAACACTGATGCGGTACTTCGTAATGCTCTGCCAGTATTTCTCGGTGCTGTTCGAGTACTTCGTTGTGATGTACGCATGTACCAATACTTCGCTATGATGTACCAGTACATCGTGGTGTAACATGCCAGCTGATCGCCACGTTGTACCACTACTAAGCGGTGCCGTGAAGCGTGAGAGTACAGCACCGTACTGCACGGTACAGTACCGGTACTACGGTACTACACCGTACTGCACGGTACAGTACCGGTACTACGGTATTGCACTGAACAGCACGGTACAGTACCGGTACTACGGTACTGCACCGTACTGCATGGTACAGTACCGGTACTACGGTACTGCACCGTACTGCACGGTACAGTACCGGTACTACGGTACTGCACGGTACAGTACCGTTACTACGGTACTACGGTACTGCAAGGTACAGTATCGGTACTGCAAGTTACAGTACCAGCACTACGGTACTACGGTACTGCACTGTACTGCACGGTACAGTACCGGTACTACGGTACTGCACGGTGCAGTACCGGTACTACGGTACTGCACGGTACAGTACCAGCGGTCACAGTTCACGGGCGCCAGGGGACAGGAGTTCGAGGCAGTGTTCAGTGCTATGCTTTCTGTGTGGGTGGTTGCACACTTGGAGTCTCGGTCTCGGTTGTGCTGAAGCTAGGAATATAGTGATTGAATTCATCATTAAATCATGATATTAGACTTCTCAAAAATACGGTGAAGCATGTCATCACGGGAAAAACTACGAATTCAATAATGATAAGCATGTGATAACAGTAAACTCAAATGATTGTTATTACTCCTTAATTAATGTATTTTATCGGGATTAATGACGAAAAAAAATTCCGGGCAGATGAAGATTAGAGAAGTTATCGCTTGTACACACGTCAGAGATATGCTCAATTTAATGCTCTTCAGTCTAGTGAGAGGAGAGTTCATGAGGTGAAATCAGGAAAAAAATCTAAACTAACATTAAATGTTGTTGCTTGTATTCAATACGTTATATTTAAAAATAGGAATAAACTTATAGTATATGGTGTTAACTCTTCGTCGTTACACAGTCTTACAGGCTTGCGGACGCGTGCTTAAGGGTTAACCTGTCGCGATAATCATTCAACCTTGTGTTCATGCAAGTGTAACTCGGTGGTTTACGAACTCGACTAATGAGGGAGAATTATCTTTATACCGAACTACCATAATTGTTAATTATGTACTTTTGGATCAGGTGAACTGGTCATGTTTTGTATTCATGGTAATTCCGTTCTTCGAGTTAGAATTGTTTGTGCTTCTCATTCATGGTATGGTTACTGTCTCAACATTGAACTGGATTCATAAACTTCAGTAATGGGTGTCCGCTCGAAACTAATAAGATTAATGATCGTTTATCACGGATTCTAACTTAATTCTTGCCCTAAAATGATTGTTTATATAATGCAACGATGTAGCAAATAGCCCGCATTTTCAAAGTAATTTCAGATGCTGTAACTAATTAACAATGATTAATTCAAAAGTGGTATAAATTAAAAATCAATTTAATTGTGAGTTAATTTTTGAATGAAATTTTAATGATGAAATTTACATCTCATTAAACTTGCTATTTAAATTCTGGATGCGGTGGGCGGGCAAGGGATATTAATAAATTTTTTCCATTTTCTTTAGCGAAAGAAGAGTTAATGCAGGGAAACTGATACATAATTTCGAAACACCAGCCAAAGCCCACTGCACAATATTAATTTCTTCAAGTATTGATACATATTCTTTAGGTATACTCAAGTTCTTTACTTAAATAATATTGTTGCATCCAAATTTACTTGGTCATCCACAGGAAATTGGTTTCGTTTTTTTTCTAAAGGCGGATCTTTATCATCTTTGTTTGGTAAGATCTAAGATGAAAACAATTGTCTTTGACGGACGGCTAACCAGCCAGACATCCTGTAATGCTGTGTTGCAAGCGTCGACATCTTAGCAAGATTTTCATTTTCAAAGTTGTTTCTATGATAAAAAAAAGTTTTCGCATCCGGCGTCTTCGACGTTCTTCGCTCTATGGTTTGAACTAAATTTGAAAAGGATTAAACTGCGTGATGTACGTTCCTTAAATGTAAAGTGGGTGTAGCAATGCTAGAGATGATCCTCAATTTAGAGAGTGCAAAGCAGTGCTTGAAATGTTCTCCTAATTTAAATCGGATGAAGCAGTGTTAGGACTTTTCTTGAAATTTGAACCGGAAAAACCAAAGCGGGGAAGGTTCATTTCATTAATTATCAGCTGGAAGCAATTGGGATCGAAATATTGAATCATTTATAGCATCAACACACATATATGCAAGATTCAACTGGCAGTAGAATATGGCAAAAATTTACTAACATCTGCAAAATAATTTGCAGAATATCATAATAATTATAACAGCATAATCTATAATTGAGTAGATTTGCATTTACGGCATTTAAATTTATATTGTAAGATGGAAGATACAATAGCAACCAAAAAATAACCAACCTAATTTTCAAATGACCATCGAAACTAAGTTGTTCGTCTTAGTCAGGATTTTTTTTTATTGTAATCAACCAATGACTTCATTAAAAACATTTGAGGTAATGGTATTCAATGACACATCTCGCATTATCGTTACCACGAGGAACATGAACGAATATTTGCCCGACAACTTTCTCACTTTCTTTCGGCGCAATAAGAACACGCGACGTCATTATCTGCTTTATTTTTCTTAAGAGAAAAAGCAGGGAACATTATTATGCGCGTCATCTTCTGGCGAGTCATATGAAAAAGTATCCACGGTAGCTCATGTGTGATGAGCACGAGGTGTCATTGCTTTTATTCACTGCTGTATCTTGTTTTAAATTTGAGGGAAGTTTTTGAAACGTTGAATTCCGTAAAGAAAATCCCAAAATGGAAGGAGATATAATAACTTTTAATGAATTAGGCGAGCTCTACGTCAATAAAGAGGATGACATGCATATGAACCCCTACCTGCAGCCTTCGTTTGGAGGCTGCATGAGCCATCTTTTCCAAGGCGCTTGAGATCCCCTTGACTTGCGCAATCTGAATTAATTTTGTAAGGTGTTTCCTCGTACTCTGTTGCGCAAGAATTATCATTTCTGCTAATACCAACGTCCTGATCCGACGAGAAACTCAGCTCTGCCTATCACCTCACCTGCTCGTGTTTGTGAACAATCACATGACTCGTCGAATGTGCAGAGAGCTGCCATTATGCCGATTGAGCGTCTGAGCGTCTATTCCTTGAATGTCATTATGGCTGTGTGTGTAGAATTATGCAGGAAAAACTTGCAAAATTATTTTTAAGGTGCAGTTTGTTTCATGCTTTGACTGATGTAACATTACTATAAGGAATGTTATATCAGCCAAAACTTAAACTATTTTTATCTTAAAGTATTTATTTAGTCACATTACCTCATCATCTCTTTTGATTGTAGCAACCATGCAGTTAATCGCTTCAAAATACAGAGTCGAGATGACCGAGCTAGAAATGCCAATGAAAGTAAAATTCCAATTGTACACTCAAATCCAAAAAACTCAATCTCATAGATCGTTGTTTCTACCATTCATTCAAAAGTCGAAAGCACACAAAACGTCGCCTGCAAGACCCACTGCACGAAGTAGCGCAAGTTGAACCGTTGCCTCGAAACGCGAGTCAAAGGTTGGGGAGGAAGAGGCCCCTAAAATCAGATGCATTGTTTGGACGCGCATAATTGCATGCGTTTGATGAGGGGCGCCCGTAAATGCGCCTTCCGTGGGATCAGTTGCAGGCACTTGGAAGGCCACGGCATAATAAGTACGCTGGTACAAAATAATGCATAATAAGGTTATGAAACTTTGTAAATTATACTTTTGTATACGTAAAATACTTTAGAGTACTCTCGTAACGTACTTGAAATTTTGAAGGTACCTCCCGAAATACTTTCCTGTTCTAACTTTGTGGTTCCTGCATATCATGAAAGTAAGATATGTTATTGATGGACATCCTGGAGCTCAGTCTGAGAGCAAACATTCGCCGAAGTCGTGTGTCAGAACGAATGAAAATTACCGTTTGGAGGAAAACATGAGAATAAAATCTCTAGATCGATTTGTTCGGCAGTAATTCAATCCACAAGTTGAAATTTTCTCTTCTCCTTCATATACACTCATCTTAATTGTTTAGCGCTCACCTATAGTCAGTACCGCAGTAGTGTTGAAGCATTGTTAGAGCTTTGTAATATTATGCCTATAATTTTTCCACTTGTCCTATAAAAATAATGCGTCACGTTACGCAGCAATTCTCACCGGGGTAGAGACACCCGGGACGGTAGCCTTGAGGGCCACCGGCGCCCGACGAGGCGTCAGAAAATAAGACCAGAGGGACGACCTGACGCCTCGCACAAGCCGAGCACGCGGCGACGCGGTACGTAGCTCGTCGCGCTCCCGACGGCGTTGATGTGCTGTGTGCCGCACACACGCTGGTCCTTTGCTGTTGTAAATGGACATTTCTGGATATAGTTTGAAAAAGAATTATATTATTTGGTGCAAATGGTGGGATAAATATGGGAATAAATATTTCACTTGAAAGAGAAGTAGGTGATCTGATATTCAACAAAATATTTGACGTTAATATTAGTCGAAAAAAATTTTTCATGGCCTGCGAAAAAACGTTTTAATTGAGTCTATTCATCCTTGAAATATAAAAATTAGAATTTAAATTAATTCAGGGTAGAGGAGAATATTTCATCCGTAATTAGAAAATATTACTAGAATTTTTCTATTTGCAATATGATGACAAGTTGCTCCAAGCTTTTCCAAGTGCTATAATGAATGAATTTATTTAAGCCGAACTTTTTCCTGTGTGGTGATGGAATTAGTAAAGAATGCTTAGTGTCATATTTTTGTTGACTCTATGTGTATTGTATTTTTTTATTGTAATGCATGCAAGTAACTCACGGAAATTAATTAGAATTTCCTTTAATGTATGGGAATAGAGTCACAATTTTTTAAAATGTCCAGGTAGACTGAAGCTGTTTAGCAAAATTAAAAAAATAGTGCATTTTACATTGAAGGAATATGAGTGAATTCAAATAGACACGAACTGATTCAACGTGCTTTTTCTGTGAAATTTAATGAAAAAATGTTACGTGACGATATCCACGGAAGGTGAATACAAACTGTAAATTAAAAGTTATATTAAACCATTCACTGTGTTGGTGCTTGAAATTCAACAAAATTAAAGCCAATAAAAATGCTGACCTATGCTAACTCAGTCCTCTTGGTTGCGCTGATAGTTTTTGCGACATCATTCTCAAGTGCTGAACAGAAGGAAGATGAGTTCAACAACGGCAAGTTGACGTCAGGTCAAGTGTTCGGGGACAACAAATATCATCACATTTTGGTTGAACCAAAAAGCGGCGAGAAAAAAACCGCGGGCTTGTCGGCCGACAGACGAGGAGGCAACCATCGCTTTGCTGACCGCGATGAACTTACCAAGAACCAGTACGCCTGGTTCACGTCTTCGCGTGGTAGGTTTATTGTATGGGTTCACAAGGCCACGAGGTGGGTTCATTCTGATTCATAATATCAGTAAGTGTGCTCATTTTGGTTCATACAGTCAGTCACGAGGTTCATACAGTCAGTCACGAGGTTCGTACAGTCAGTTACGAGGTTCGTACAGTCAGTCACGAGGTTCGTAAGTCAGTCATGAGGTTCGTACAATCAGTCACGAGGTTCGTACAGTCAGACAGGAGGTTCGTACAGTCTGTCACGAGGTTCGTAAGTCAGTCATGAGGTTTGTATAGTCTGTCACGAGGTTCGTAAGTCAGTCATGAGGTTTGTATAGTCTGTCACGAGGTGGGTACTCCATAATCCAGAATTTAATATCTTGTATGGTATATTCTCGCTCTATTAATCAGAGCCTCTCATGTGGTTCCACTAAGTATCGAAAGTATACCTTCAAACAGTATTAACTTTTCGCGTAATTCAACCGAGTACAAGAGACAACATTACTCGCATTTTACTTTGCTCTTTAAGTGACGCACAACAACAAGATGTTGGCGATAGGAATTCTTTGGTTCGTGGTATACCTCGTGGACCGCAGTGCCGCTTACATGCGACGATCAATAGCCGGAAACTGGCAATCAACTCTGTAGTGAGACACATATCAGGTGTTCGTGTCTGTTCAATATGCCTTTTTATTACGTACGGGTTGAATATTATTTTTTTAATTATCATAGCGTTTGGGGAGGAAATGTTTTGAAGTTTTCTATGTGTTTTGAATGATACCTGAGATGTCTAACGTGGTCTCACTGTATCTGTGAGCACGATAGATTTTCTTTTTATAATACACCTGTATAGCCTAATAAATGTATTTGTTTCTGACTATAAACTTGTCTATAGAAATCAAAGCCGGATTATGCATGATGAATGCGATTCGTTTGGCACGGATAGGGCGTCAAATTCCAACGGATCCATCTTTTAGTTAAAGTTTCCCCAACCGTATCAGCTTATTGTAAGTTACCAGGCAAGGCCTTGTGTTCCGTGCGGTTTGCGGTTAGCTTCTTCAACGCCTCACAGGACGCAATTGAAAACAATGGCAGATAATCGGTGGCCAATATTTGGTCAGCTTTTGGGTACTGATGATTTGGCACCAGACACTTTAGCTCGCACGCAGCTTTTATTTCAACGCTTTAGCATTTACTTCAACATTTCAACCAAGTAAATAGTTGTTGATTACTTAAAATTAAAAATTTTAATGTAAGTACGTGAATATTTATCGAGAAGCGTTGAAATGTTGAAATATAAGTAGTCGATGAGAATTTCATTTGACAAAAATGGTAAACAGAGGTATGTGCTGCTCGGCAAACCCGACCTTGAAGATTGTGATGTCACGGTTTTAGGGAGGGTTTAGAATTCGCCCTCGTGACTTATCTTCGCCTCATCTTGATGGCGGGATTGCATGTCAAGAAGTGATTGATCCACAATTGCCATGTATTCGTGGACTCACGTTCGTCGAATCAAAGAATATAATCTAGCGCGACTTCTTATGAAATCTGTTGTTGCTCAGCGATCATTACTCCTCGAAAAATTATAGCTGTCAAAAAACATGTTAGATTTGTCCAGAAGAATATAAAATACAACTTCCGTTTTTATTCGTAATCCTATGAAACCTCTTGTTGCTCAGCGATCATTACTCTCCGAAAAATTATAGATGTCGAAAACATGTTAGATTTGTACTGAAATCCCTCATCTATCGCGGATGTTACGTTCCAGACCTCGACCGCTAGTGGTGAAGTTCGCAATGGGGGATTTGTCAACTGATAGTATTTATTTAAGTATTTATATTGTAATATTTGGAAAAGTTTTCATTCTTTTTTCCACAAACTCTTTTCGCACTTTTACTGTCGATCGAGTTCAGTGGCTGTTAAACCGGCGAACAAGCGAAGATCTGCGAATGATTCATATCATTAATTTTTCTTGGAAACCTGCGATGAATTGATGCTGGGAAGATGAAGCGCGATGTAGCGAGGGAATACTGTAATCATAGTCACGTTGGAATACACAGATTTAATGAAATAAATCGCTGCTGAGGTAGCAAACAATCTCTTTTGGATCAGCTCTACAGAAAGATTAAAACTCACTCTGTTGACTGATTTTCTATTGATTTCGCTCGCTTCTATTCCATATAGAAGCATAGGCGGAATTAAACTTGCGTTAGATACTTCGTTTCATCTACAACATATAATAATTAACGATACTAATGTTCAGTGTATGAAATTTTGTCAATAATATGGAGTGTATGTTTTAAGACTTAAAGACGAATGACAAAGGATTCCATAAATTTAACTTGTATCGAAATGCGATATTAATAGATATTAATACTAATAAAAAGCTGGAAAACGGTTAGTAAATTGGAATGGTATGCACTAGAAATAACGAGGCAACAAATGTTTTACCAGCATTTTCTTGATTATATTGATAATATTGCACTGAATGACATTCATATTACTGCAATGTCACGCAATTGAAAATTTAGGGAATTATCCTGAAAGAAAATATATTGAATTCTGTGCTAAAATACGGAGTGCAGAAATGCGGCTCCGTAGAAGTTTTCGGCAGGATGATGATATCGAGGCAGTGCAATCCTTGCATCCTCTGCAGGAAGCACATGCAGACTCGCTCGCAGCAAACTTGCAGGAAGCACATGCAGACTCGCTCGCAGCAAACTTGCAGGAAGCACATGCAGACTCGCTCGTAGCAAACTTGCAGGAAGCACATGCAGACTCGCTCGTAGCAAACTTGCAGGAAGCACATGCAGACTCGCTCGTATGACAAACTTGCAGGAAGCACATACAGACTCACTCGCAACAAACTTACAGGAAGTACATGCAGACTCGCTCGTATGACAAACTTGCAGGAAGCACATGCAGACTCGCTCGTAACAAACTTGCAGGAAGCACATGCCGACTCGCTCGTAACAAACTTGCAGGAAGCACATGCAGACTCGCTCGTATGACAAACTTGCAGGAAGCACATACAGACTCACTCGCAACAAACTTACAGGAAGCACATGCAGACTCGCTCGTAACAAACTTGCAGGAAGCACATATGGAGGTGTAACAATATTGTTACTTTTAGCAGTATTGTGACGTGAAAAAATGTCCAAAGGAAATCGCCACCGAAATGAAAGTGAAATTAAAAAATATACGAGGATCATTGCCCATACGCTTGTTTGTTGGACGAAAGATGTTTTGAAAACCAAATTTGAGATCAGACAACGACTGATTGAGAATAATTTAGATTTTTTTTCACAGCATTAATACGGGGAGCTTGAAATGGTTTTGGATTACTTCATGACCTTTTTAATTTTGTAACTCAAATATTTATGTATGCTTTTTATCAACATCTATTGCGTGGGTAACGAGGCAGCGACAGTGGAAAACCGCAGTTGAAAGACCCAAATATCGTTCATGAGCTTACACGCGAATACCGCAATAAAAATAAGATTTAACTTGTTAAAATTATCAAATAAAATTTGACAAACTTTAAATATTGAATGAAATTGTTTTAAATCAAGGTAAGCACGTCACAATCGTGAGAAACTTTCAGTAAAGGAAGTAAGTGTTTATTTCACTGCGACTGTCCGCCGGAAAGTGCGTACAGTATTTTTGTGCATGGCTTGGAGGCAACAGATCGCGAGACTTAAAGGGTAATGGGGGGCATTAGAAAGGGTAATGGGGGGCATTAGAAAGGGTAATGGGGGGCATTAGAAAGGGGAATAGAATAGAATAGAAGTGTCGACATTGAAGAAATAGGCCAATTTAATTTTTAACGGAACTTTAGGCCTTTGATGTAGACGTTCCCCGTTAGAGACGAGCGTCATCGCCGTCATTAACTGCTCATGCAATAAAAGTTCCGTTAAAAATTAGATGTAAATATGTCTCAAATTAGGAATTAAGGTTTAATTTATCAAAAAAAAATCTGAAAATAATTCTAAATAGCTGAAGAACATTTTAGATGGTATTTTGGTCATTTAAAGAATAACCTAATTTTTTTACAATAGTTGAGAACCACATCAAATTAGCATTGCATGCACTAGCGAAGACTCACACCAATAATGGCTTAATAATTTTGGGCAATAAAATGATTTTAATTGCATTCAAATAGAATTGCCCATCTTGACCAACAGCTACGTGCGCGCGCAGCAAAATACGTGCGCGCGCAGCATATTTCTAGGAATTACAAACACATTTGATAATTATTATTTAAACCAAATATGTACAACAATTCTTTCCTCACATAAATAATTGCGAATTTAAAAAAAAAATAGTTGACTTGATTGCTCTTAAGTGTATCAACAGTAGAAACTTCATTACAGCTTGGCTCCAACATACAATCATAGTATTTGGCAGTATTAAATGAAATTCTTCATCAGATTAGATTTAATGTGCGTTATACTTCCTGTACAACGATCTTAAGTACAGTAACTATGTAGAGCGCAGTAAGCTAATACTAACACAACGCGAACGAGAACGGCAGTAGGCTACCCCACGTCAACCAAACTACCGGTTGTTTGATGGCATTTATAATTGCTAAGAAAACCTTGTGGGGAACGAGCGCCCGCCCGTGGTCTTGGGAGGTAATGCTGAGTCGTGGTGCCTTTTTAGCGCATTTTCTCATTTATGAAAAAATTGCACTATTGTGCTCGCCATGTCCGTCTGTCTGTCTGTCCGTGACTTCATGTTTTCGTCGACGAGAAAATGCGCTCTCTGTCACTCACTGCTGTGAGTACTGAGTTATATTTTTTAGCTCGTTCGACTCTATTTTTGTCCATCATTATGTTATTATGGTTGATGTTGTCGGTGCAGTTATAATTATTGTTGTTAAGGTTCTTCATTCTGTTGTTTTTAAAGCTGACTCTTTTCCCCACTGATGCTCCGAGAACAGCAGGATATTGCATTAGCAACTAAAAATTATTTTTTTAAAGCGAATGCAGTTGGCATTCAACAGAAATATTTGAAGATTG